CCAGTGCTGGAGGTTGGGGTGTTTGCCATACCTTCTGGTCAGTTATCTCATCACCCTTGGCCAAGCTCCTTAGCCTGCAGCTCCGTGGAAAATGGAAGAGAATGATGGGGGAGATCAGGACATGAGATAGGAAGTTCCACACAGTGCCAGCATCCTCCCCAACAAACCTGCTCACTTGAATGAACTGCTCCCCTCAAAGCCAAATCTGTCTTTCAATTTAACAAGCACATAGGAACATACTCTTGAGTTGGGGACATCCTAAGGAGGACAGGTCTTAGGCACATCCAGGCAACACAGCTCAGCAAGGGGCCGGGTCAGACAGTCTTGACAGTTCATCTTGACCTCTCATCCAGCTGCTGCCCATAGCAAATGGCACCATTTCCAGAGGGCTCACAGTGGGGTTGGATGACAGGCTGGGGGTCTTTGGTAGCTTTAGTTCATTAATACTTGAAGAAAAAAAAATGCCAAGAGAAAAGAACCCTCATACTCATTTCACTCGTGAAAGTGAGGCCTTGCCCTGACCACACCAATTTAAGGAGTGTTATTTACAGTCTGCATGTAAGTGTTATTTATACTTGATTGAGCTGCTTCTCTATGCCTTCTTCCCTAGAGCTTCAGAGATGGGAATTTTGAGAGCCCATGGATCCTGAGCATATTATGGATAAGCAGCTGTCCCCATGGAACAACATCCCGTCATCCAGTTGTCACAGCAGTGCCGCAGAATAGCCCAATGCAACAGCCTATGCTCCCTTCCAGGGACTGCCCAGAATGGCCCTGATATGTAAAGCCACACCCTGCAGGAACTCCCATATTCTCACATGCATTTTTTTTGCAGTGTTGGGAATGGAACCCAGGGCCTTGCACATGTTAGGCCAGCGCTCTGTGCTGATCTATATCCTCAACTCTGCTTTAAAATTTTATTCTGAGACAGGGTCTCGCTCAGTTGCCCAGGCTGGCTTCCTTGACCTTATCTTGACCAGCAACTTCACTCAGAAGCAGTGCTGGACAGGTCCTGTCCCCTACAGTAACAGTTGCCCCAGCCTGAGACAGGGGGCTGGATCTGAATCTCTAAGGGAACCTTTCTCTAATTATCAACAGAAAGCCCATTCTGGTCCTGGGCAGGAACATATCACCATCTTGAAGAGAAGGCCCTTGTCCTCCCCCAGCATAGAAGCTCTGCTCAGCCCAATTAGGAATCTCTGAAATCACACTGTAAGGAATGCCCCCATCAAGGGCTGGGGATTTAACTCAGCGGTTCCACCTGCCTTGCAATCAGAAGGACCCGAGTTCGATCCCCGGTACTAAAAAAAGAAAGCCCCCCCCCATCAAGGTCCAGAGTTCGATCCCCAGTACAAAAAAAAAAAAAAACCAAAAAGGAAGGCCCCACACCATCCCCAGTGGGAATACCACTGTCCTCAAGCTGGGTGGCAGCCTCACTCTCCAGGAAGCATCTGAGATACACCTCACTCATAAACCAAATTCTGAACCACAGCCCTGGCTCTCTTTACAGAAATTCCCATCTTCAACCCCTTTAGGAACCCAGACTATGTGTGGAACCCTTGCCCTCATCATTGGCAATGACCCTTGACATCACTCTGTACAACAGTCCTGGATCACGCACCTACCCTGTGGCATCCCTAGGAATCTAGGATCCAACTTGCAACATGAACCTCAGTCTGGAACTTGTATAGAAAGCCTTTTCCTGACCATGTGGCTGGAACACCAGGCCCATCTTTTACTCTGAACCCCAACTTATCTTTATTTTTTTCAGTAGCACTAGGGATTGAACCTAGAGCCTTCTCACTGAGCTACCTTTACCCAGTATCCTATCTTTTTTTTTTTTTTTGGTACCAGGGATCAAACTCGGGTCCTTGCGCTTGTGAGGCAGGCGGCAGAACCACTGAGTTAAATCCTCGACCCTAATTTATTTTGGTTTTTTCTCTCCTCTCTCTTTATTTATTCAATTTTTTGGTACCAGGAATCGAACTTTGGACCTTGTGCTTGCAAGGCAGGCTCAGCATCACTGAGCTTAATCCCTGCCCCTCCCCCTTTATTTTGAGACAAACTTGCCATCTCCTGACTCTCAGCCTCCCAAAGTGCTGGGTTACAGGCCAGGGCCACTGTGCCCTGCCTGACTTATCCTAAAGGCAACTATGGCTTCACCTGGCATAGCACCCCTCCCCACTGCATGGCTTCTATGTGTTGAGGCTGACAAGGCCCCCCATCCTCTCCTTGCATTAGCTCCCCTTCCCTGATCCTTTACAGGAAGCCTGGCTGTACAAGTGTACCAGGATCTCTGACTTGATTTTCTGTAGAAAACTTTTCCTGGTCATGTATGATGGCACATACAGCACTCTTGGAGGTTAAGGCAGGAGGATTCTAAATTCAAGCCAAGCCTGGGCAATTTAGTAACTTTTATTTATTTATTTATGTTTTTTTTTGAGACAGGGTTTCACTATGTAGTTCAGGCTGGTCTTGAACGCACCACGTAGCCCAGGCTGGCCTTGAACTCATAACAATCCTCTTGCCTCAGCGTCCGAGAGCTGGGATTACAGGCCTGCACCCCCCACACCCAGCAACAATTTAGCAATTTTGTGAGACTCTGTTTCAAAATTTAAAAAAGGGCTAGGAATGTAGCTCAGTGCAAGACCTGGAGTTTAATCCCCAGAAGAAAAGAAAACCTCTTTGCTGAATCTCAACTGAAATCCTTCACATATTTACAGGAATCTCTCCTGACGTAACACAAGAAGCCCTGATGGGATTCTCTGTAATAGCTTTTGCCCTGGTAGCCCTGTCCTCAGCCTGCACAGGAACCACTGTCCTGACCCCACAGAAGAAACACTAACCTGAATAGCTGAAGGAACCAGGGTTCAAAATCTGCAGGGACCCTCCTATATGATTCCCAGCAGGAACTGTGTCCTAAGCTGCTACAGAAACCCCTGCCTTTATGCTCAGTGGGAACCTTTGGTTTGGCTCTTTAGAGGAATCCAAGAAATGAATTCGTGTAAAACTCCTGCACTGTAGGGGAACCTGCTCTGATTTTGTTAAACCCATAATCTAAACCAGGCATGGTGGTACATGTCTATAGTCCCAGCTACTTGGCTCTTTTGTTGTTGTTGTTTTTGTTATTTGCAGTGCTGAGGATCAAACCTAGGGTCTCACACATGCTAGGCAAGTGCTCTACCATGAGTTAAATTTCTAGCCTTAGGATTCTGATATTTTCCTCTTTTTCTGTTCTTTTTTCTTTTCTTCTGCTGTGCTGGGGATGGAATCCAGGCCCTTGCACATTCTAGATAAGTGTTCTACCACTGAGCTACACCTCCTGTCTGTGTCCCACTTACTCAGGAGGCTGAGGCAGAAGGATCGCTTGAGCTTAGGAGTTCAAGGCCAGACTGGGCAACACAGTGATATCCCATCTTGGAAAAAATAAAAAAAAGAACATGCCACAGAGACCATATGTAGCCTGCAAAGTCTCCACTATTTACTACATGGAATAGTAACTTGTAGAGAAACTTGGCTGACCCCTGCTCTACAGGAACCTCTCTTCTGACCAAACAGGAAAATGAACTTTGCTGGGCCTGGTAGCCCACACTTGTAATCCTAGCACTTGGGGGGCTGAGGCAGGAGCATTGCCATGAATTCCAGACCAGCCTGAACTACATAGTGAGACCCTGTCTCAAAAAGGAAAAAAAAAGAAGAAAAAGAAAAAAGAAACAACCCTTGTTATGGCTTCTGTTTAGATCTCCCCCCAAAGCCTCATGGGGTCATAGGTGGGGCTTTTTCAGATCTAGACTCTAGATCTAGAGTGTGTGACACTGGAATTGATTCATGGTGCAATGCTAGGCTCAGCACTAGGATTAAGGGTGTGAGTGTTATCAGCTCTAAGTAGCCTGCATAAGATGTAAGGGACAGAAAGAACTGTGGTCGTCCCTTGCTTGCTTGTTTGGGAGTGAATTGTAGCTCCTCAGCAATGACCCTCTGCTATGCCAACCTGCCTTGGAGCCAGCGATTATGGACTGAAACCTCTACAAACTGTGAGCTAAATAAACCTTTCCTCCTTTAACTTTGGGTGTCAGGTATTTTGTCTCAGCAACCAGAGAAAAGTTACTAAGACAACCCCTTAGTCTCTTTAGTCTATTACTTTGCAGACATCACAACCTCAGAATATTCTTCAATATATATCACTAAATGTTTTCTTTGATAAGTATAGAGATTTGAAGATCCTGGGTCTGTGACCCTCTGGCATTAAGAGAAAAAGTCATGTTTGGGTGGAAAATGAGTGGAAGGAAAAAGGCTGAAAGTGGCATTTTCAAGAGGGTCGGAGGGCCTGGCTACTGGGCGGCAAAGCTGTCAATCTGTTTGTTAGTCAGCAATGCTGACTAACAGACCGCTTATCTCTCAGGCCCCAGCCTACAGCCGGGTAGGAAATGGTGGAGAATGAGAGGGAGATTAGGAGGACAAACCGGCCTCTTGTGGGTCTGATATTTAGACACTGGGTAGGAGATGCAGGGGTGAGCCCAGGGACAATTCCCTTTACCTCCCCCCAAATGCCCGTATGCTTTCTAAAGCAGAGGTTACCGGGAGGAGGGGACAGACAGACCCACCACCCATGAGAAATTCCCCTTCCCACGTCCATTCTGCCCCCGCATTATTATTATCATAACTTTCCAGATGAGAAAACGAAGCACAGAGCTGTTCAGTAACTAGCCCACGGTCACATGGCTAAGTCCTATAACCTCAGTTTCCTTATCTGCAAAGCCGCCTTAATAATGGGAACTACCTCACAGAACTGTGGTTTTCAACAACGCCTGTCATTCCCATTACTCGTCCCTGTTGAGACTCCTTCCACGCCACCTCCTATTTTCGTGGCAGATTAACAGCTAACATTAGGCACCTCTTCTGGACCACCGTTGTTAATATTCTCACAACGTTTATCATCATTACCACGCCCACTTTGGCCACCCACCAGCCATCAACCTAGTTAGCCCAGCCACCAGCACGCCCGCGTACGTCATCACTGCGCGCTGCGCGGGAACCCCTGGGAGGAGACGCCCCTTCCTAACGCCCTCGCTTCCTTGCTCGCTCTGGAATCACCGCACCGCAGTTAGCGTGGGTCTGGAGGGCTCCTAAGGTGACTGGGCAGGGACGGAAGGTCGGGAGCTCTGGCAACCAGAACGACAGAGGCAGTAGCTGAGGTAGGGAAGCTCATGAGCCGGAGTCGGGTCTCGAACTGCTGATCCGCGCTTTACGCAGGCGCTGTACGACTCGCGTCACTCGCAGACGCACCGTTTTGTGAGATCGCGAGAGGTGTGGCCTGGTGCGGAAGGCGAGCCAACCGCACTGTCCAGGCTGTGGGCGGGATCTGGGTGGGCAGTAAAGACATCCAGCCCAATGGAAAAGAGAGGATCCCGCACCCGCGGCCAGACGGTCGCCGGAAAGTTGGCAGCGTGAGCCAAGGGCTGCGCTCAGTGAGTGGGGCCAGGAGGATTGGCTGGAATCGACGGCTGGGGCGGGAAGGGGCGGAGGCTCGTGGGAGGCGGCTCAGGACTGGCTGCGGGGACCTAAAGAAAAGCTAAAGATCCGGTCTGGGCAGGGGGTGGGGTCCGGTGGAAGGAAAGGGGTAGTTGCCGGAGGATCGGGGCTGGTTGAAACGCTAGGGGCGGGGATCTGGTGGAGTCAAGGTGGAGTCGAGGCTGGGGCTGGGGCTGGCAGAGAAAGCTGGGTGATTACCTGAGATAAGCCAGAAAGGGCAGGTTTATGAAGGGATGTGGTCTGGGCGAGATTGAGAGGAAAGGAGGGGTCTGGGAATGAAGCTTGGTAGAGTGGAGGGCCGTGATTGTCTGGAAAGGGCAGGCCCAAAATGGACTGAGCCTAGGGAGGGTCGAGGTTAGTTGGTTTGGGAAAGAGTAAGACTGGGAAAGAATCAGGGGAAAGAGATGGAGCCCAGTGGAACAGACACCTCCGTAGACTGAGAGGGCCTGGGAGGGGCGGGGATTAGAAGGCAGTGGGGAATAGCGTAGTTTAGGGAGTTTGTCTAGGGGCGGGGCCTTGGAAGGGGTAGGGATGGGGGTGGTCCCCAGGGCGATCCAGCCCCCTCACTGCCCTCTCCACACCACCCCTCAGGGGCGTGTCAGAGGTGAAGGTTTCCTGATCATGACCTCCACCGGCCAAGATTCCACCACAACCAGGCTTCGAAGGAGTAGGCACAACCCCCAGTCGCCCCTTCACGACTCCAGTGTCACTTGGGTGAGGCCCCAGACCTGCCCTGATGAGGGGGAGGGAGAACCAGCCCGCCCCTCCTGGACTCTGACTCTGACTCTGCTTGGCAGAAGCGAAGTATTAAGAAGGGTGCTGTACCCCGCTCCAGCCCCAGTCTAGCAGAGGTGAAGAAGAAGGGCAAAATGAAGAAACTCGGTCAAGCAGCGGAAGATGACCTAATCATGGGTCTTCAAGGGCTGGTGAGTGGGGCCTGGCCCCATTTGTGCTCCTGTGACAAATCAGAACCCCAAGGCTCCCACCATGGACCATAGAGAATGCTCCCTTTGCCTTGAGTGGATCTGTATCTCTCTCTTTTTCTCTGCAGGATATGAACCCTGAGGCCAAGGTCCTTGTTGGCACTGGGCTGGTGTTCGATGAGCAGCTAAATGAATTCCATTGCCTCTGGGATGACAGGTGAGGCTGAGTCCTCCAGGCTGACCCCAAATATACAGATACACTCATGCATCCCACCAAGTAAGAACAAATCCTTTTTTTTTTTCCTTTTTTTTTTTTTGAGACAAGTCTCACTATGTCGTTCAGGCTAGTTTTGAACTCTATGTAGCTCAGTCTGGCTTCAAACTCATGGCAGTCTTCCTACCTCATCCTCCTGAGTGCTAGAATTATAGACAAGGACCACCAGGCCACAGCTCAGAATGAATCCTTTCTAAAATTGTCCTGAAGACTGGAAGCAGAGAATTTGGAAAGATGGTGCTCTGCCGGGCACGGTGGTGCGTGCCTGTAATCCCAGTACTCGGGAGGCTGAGGCAGGAGGATTAGTGTGAATTCGAGGCCAGCCATGGTCAGGGATTTAGCTCAGTGATTCTGCTGCCTGCTTTGCAAGCACAAGGACCTGAGTTTGATCCCTGACACCAAAAAAAAAAAAAAACAATTGAGGCCAGCCTGAATTACAGAGCAAGACCCTGTGTAAAGAAAAGAAAAGAAAAAAGAAAGGTGGAACTCACGCTTGAAAGCATTCCCCTTGTTTAGCCAACATGTATTTATTGAAGTGCCTATTCATACTAAGAGTTGGTGATATAATGTGCCAAACAAAACAGGGTCCCTTCTCAGGGACCTGGCTGATGAGTAGAAGGACAGATCACTTAAACAGCCAACAGCAGTAGGAGTGTTTAATCTTACAGTAACATCCAGGGTTTCCTGAAGCCTTCCTCGAGAAAGGGACATTTGTGTGGAAACAGAATGATCACCCCCTGACTGTCCTTTCAAAAGAATCAGCCAATTTTTCGCTCTGTGTTCAAAATATATTCAGTGTCTGCCCTCTCCTCATAGTCCTCTGTCTGCAGCCTCCATACAGCAGCCTAAAACACATGTATAGGATGATGTTCCTTTTCTTAAAATATTTCAAGGGCAGACCATTTCTTTCAAGGTAAAGTGTGACTTTTTCATCCTGGCCTCTAGGGTTCCACATGATCTAGCTCCACATCACCTATGTGAGCTCACCCCCCGCCATTTGCTTCATTTCACTTTACCCACACCTGACCCTTTGCTGTTCTGCTAGCCTGCCAGGTACCCTCAGGTTTTTACCCTTGACTGATCCCTTTCCAACTTGCACATCTCAAAGAGACTTTCTTAGAGAGAGTTGGCCTGGCCACCACCTTCCCTCCACATGTGATCTTAGATATTTTCCTAACTCCAGCCGATGTTTGTTAATCATTATACTCATGTGTTTACTGATTTAGTAGCTATCTCCCTTATCCTGACCTAAGACTAATTCATGAGGGCAAAAGACTCATTTGTGGAATGCATATTTACTGTCTATGCAGGAGCTAGGAGTACAGCAGTAGACAAAACTAACAACCTTGCCTTCAGAGTGAGGGGAAAGAAGTAAACAGACGAATATGAACTGGATGATACAGAGTGTTGGATAGAACACTAAGGGTGGGGGCGGTGATTTAGCTCAGTGGTTTCGCTGCCTGTTGCGCAAACGCAAAGACCCGAGTTCAATCTCCGGTACTAAAGAAAAAAAAAGAACACTAAGGTGGGGGTGGGGTAGCAGAGTGTGGTGGAGGGGGTGACATCCACATTCCCATTGAATAGGACGGTCAGGGACAGCCTCGCTGACAGTTGAGCGGGCTCTGAAGGAGGCGAAGGAGGGAGCCGTGGCGCCATCTGGGAGAAGTGGGCTCTAGGCCCGAAGGACAGCTGGAATAAAGTCTCAGGGTTGTCTGAAGGGTATGTGGTAGGCTGAGAGCAGGGAGACCAGTTCGGGTGAAGCAGAGCACAGGAAGGGGCAAGCGGTAGGCAATGGGATCAGAAAGGTGATGGGGCAGATTGCTTACAGCCCTCTAGACCTAGCCTTTGGTGTTTACTCAGAATGGGATGGGAGCCAGGAGAGGGTTTTGAGTGGCTGAGGGCTGTGATCTAATTAGGATTTTTTTTTCTGATTAGGATTTTAACTACTGCCTTGCTGCTGTGTGTGGAAAGGATGTTGGAGGAGCAAGGGTGGAGACAAGAGGTCTAGGAGATGATGGGGTGGCCTGGGCTGGAGGTTAGAGTGGCAGCAGTGACAGTGGGAAGGACAAGGTCAACAACAGGTGGCAGGGCTGAGCCCCAGGAGTGGGGGGAACAGCTAAGGAAGGGTGGGTGGGGAGATGTGAGAGCAGACAGGGTGCTTCTCAGCGTCCCCATTCTGTGTGTATGTAACTGCATCTCCGTCTTTCTAGCTTCCCTGAACGTCCTGAGCGGCTCCATGCCATCAAGGAGCAGCTGATCCAGGAAGGGCTCCTGGATCGCTGTGTGTCCTTTCAGGTGAGGCCCCCAGTGGACACTGGGAGGAGGGGAGGGAGCTGGCAGGACCGGGCATAGCCTGAGTCTTAGCCCCTTATTCCTCCTGTCTCCTCAGGCCCGCTTTGCTGAAAAGGAAGAGCTGATGTTGGTTCACAGGTTAATGCTTGGGAGCCTGTCGGGCTGGGACTAACCAAGGCAGGCTGGATGCTCTGGGAAGGAATGTCACAGCACTGTGGTTGGCCTTGGGCAAGTCACCAAGCCTGCTAGAATTAGTGTTATTGCCTGTAATATGAGGGCTGGTAAACATAAAGCTCCCCAGGAGGGCTCGATGAATCCCAGGTGCTTCAATCCAGCCTAACAATTCATGGGCCCAGGGTGAACTGTGGTGGGCAGAGTGATCAAGGGGATCCCCCCCAGGGGCCTACTGAAACCCAGAGTAAGAGGCTTGGAGTGACATGGCTCAGAGGAAGCTAGCTTGGCAGAGAGAAGGTAGCTGAGCTAAGTTCTGAGAGGAGAAAAGCAGTCAGTCTGATTGAGAGGAAGGCTGAGGGAGGGAGGAAACAGACAGCTGGAAGAGTCCAGCTGAGAGCCTGGAAGGAGGATTTGGGGGGCTAGACCAGGAGAGAAAGGATATTACTGAAAGTGAAGAGGGCTAGGGAAAAAACAGACTGTGTCCTATGTCACACCTGTTCCCTCAGGTTGACAATAGGGGGAGGACTGATTTGAGCAAAAGTGTTGGTGTGTGGAGGGCTCAACTAAGGGGACAGGGCCCTGACTCTCATCCTTTATGTGTGTCCCCAGCCTAGAATTTATTGACCTGATGGAAACGACCCAGCATATGAATGAGAGAGAACTCCGACTACTAGCGGATACCTATGACTCAGTTTATCTGCATCCGGTATGGATGGGCACTGTTCCGGTCAAGGAGTGGTGGCAATCCAGGGGTCCCTTGTCACTATTCCCACCTTATTCTGGTTGAACCCACCAAGCAGATAGGGCTGCTCCTCTGACCCTCTCTCTGGCTCCCTACTGTCTGCAGAACTCTTACACCTGTGCCTGCCTGGCCTCAGGCTCTGTCCTTAGGCTGGTGGATGCGGTCCTGGGTGCTGAGATACGGAATGGCATGGCCATCATCAGGTAAGACCCTTTGGCATGTTATTACTTCCATTTTTAAAAAGTCCTTCTCTCAAGTGTGAAGCATATAGGCCTAGGTATTACCTTCATGTAGTATGAGACAGAAAGCACAAAAGAGAGTACAATAAAAAGTCTCTTTTCCATCCTTGCCTCCCATATGCCCATTCCTCTCCTGGGAGTAGTCATCGTAACCAGTGACTCCTGTGTCTTCCCACAGGTAGTCTTATCTAAGGAATAAGTTTCATATTCCGTTAGTTCTAAGGTATACAGTTTTTCATATCTAGAACATCTTGAAATCCAGATGCATCTAACAGTGATGTGTCAGAATTTCAACGGGAGCATTTTCTGCTTTGTTATTGTGGTGTAAAATCATGGAACATCTTGTCACAGTTGGCTTTCCAGAATTGACGAAATACAGAAGATGGAACCTTTGTCCCCTACCCCTTTGCTTTTTAACAACTCCTGTAGTCAGCACTTGACACATAACTGTCTATGCCATACATTTTTCACTTACACGTCTCAGAAAGCTTTCTTTAACAGTATGGAGCTTAGACCATACGCAGTGGATACCATTGTATAAATGCACTTTGAATTAACTACTCTCCCACCAATGAGCACTTAGGTTTGCCCCAGTTTTTTGCTGCTTCAAACAAATGTCACAGCAAATATGGTGGCACATTTATAAACAAGTTATTTTACCCAGTTTGTTGTACAGTTTGTGGGCTAAGTCCCCACAGCAGAATAACTGGGTATGAGAACTTATGCTAGGATAACTTTAATGATCAGTTTCAAATCTCCTTTGGAGTTAAAGCAGTAGATTGGTGGTCTTGACAGTTTGAGAGTCCCAAGTTATTCAGATCCTGGCAGATTAATGGCACTGACAAAAGAGAAGTTGGTGGTCCCAGGATTAGAGAGCAGGAGGGGGCTGTCTCTGTGAAGAGTAGGATGCTGTCTCTCATCTGTGGCCTTCCCTGTCCTGCCCAGGCCTCCTGGACACCACGCCCAGCACAGTCTTATGGATGGGTATTGCATGTTCAACCATGTGGCTGTGGCTGCCCGCTACGCTCAAAAGAAGCACCGCATTCAGAGGTCAGTGGCAGAGAGCAGGTGGGATAGGATAGAGTACCTTCCCTCCTGGATCTCCTTGCACAGAGCACCCCCCTTTCTCCTTGCTCACAGGGTCCTTATTGTGGACTGGGATGTGCACCATGGTCAAGGAACACAGTTCACTTTTGATCAGGACCCCAGGTACACCTCAAGTCCCACCCTAGCTGAGCTACCCCCTCCCCTACCCTTACAGGCACAGTCAGAAAGGCTGGGAAGCAGGGGAAAGGCTTCATCTTCATTGGGCCCCCCTGGGACCAGGGTCTGTACTCCTCCCTGTGTGTCTGTTGTATCCTTATTTCACTGGCAGGAACTGTTGGATTCCCATTTTACAGATGGAGATTGAGCCTTACCAGTTCAGAGATCACACAGAGAAGAAGTGGGAGAGATTTGACCCACAAATATTTGGATATTTCTTCATTCTGAATTGTTTTCTCCTTGGTCCTTCTCTTTCTTTTCTTTCTTTCTTTCTTTTTTTTTTTTTTTTTTTTGAGGCAAGGTCTCCCTTTGTAGTTCTGGCTGGCCTTGAACTCACTGTGTAACCCAGGCTGCCTTTGAACTCAGCAACCCTCCTGCCTCAGCCTCCCCACCCTCCCGAGTGCTAGGATAACAGGTGTGCACCACCATGCCCAGCATTGTAGTTTTTTGTTTTTTGGGGTGTTATTTTTGGTACAGGAATTGAACTCAGGACCTTGCAGTTGCCAAGCAGGTATGGCACCACTGAGCTACATCCCCGGCAGTCCTTCTCTTTCATACTGATGGTTTTTCTTCAAATGTCTCTCCATGCCTTTTGATCTCCATTTTCCTCATCTTTCAGTCTCTTAAGTCCAGCAGCAGGGAGACAAATTGGGCAGTCCTTAAATGCTGTTATGTAGGTAAGGAAAACCCGTAAAACTAAAGTCAAGTAGATGCAAAAGCAAGTAAATGTGGTGAGTTGGTCATTTAGCGAATTGGCTATGCATAATTGATTTTTCATGGATTGACCTGGATTTGCACTTGACTTCTCCAGAAGGGAAACTTTAGGCCATCTTGGGTGGGTGCTTGCCCACCTACTCAGCATGGGAGAGGGCCCTAGACTCCTAGAGCCTCAGCATCTACTTTCCAGAGATTTGTTGAAATCTTGACTGAGAAACTTTCTCTTGTTTTCTTTCTGGATTGATTTTTTTTTTCAGTGCTAGGGATTGAACCCAGGGCTTCCTGCATGCTAGGCAAGTGCTTCACCACTGAGCCACACCCCCAGTCTGATATTTGTTTGAAATTCCTTTACTGGCTGGGGTTGTAGCTCAGTGGGAGAGTACATACTGTATATGCAAGATCCTAGGGTCCTTCTTCAGCACCAATAAATAAATACATAGGCAGGTGCGATGGGTGCAGGGCTATAATCCCAGTGGTTTGGGAGGCCAAGAAAGGAGGTTCGTAAGTTCAAGGGCAGCTTTTTAAAAATTATTTTTTGGGGGCCGGGGATTTAGCTCAGTGGTTTTGCTGCCTGCTGTACAAGCGCAAGGACCTGAGTTCGATCTCCGGTACAAAAAAAAAATTATTTTTTTAATTTTTAAGAAAGGGGTAGGGGCCGGGGATTTAGCTCAGTGGTTCCATCGCCTGCCTCACAAGAGCAAGGTCCCGAGTTCGATCCCTGGTACCAAAAAAAAATAAAGAAAGAAAGGGGTAGGGATGTAGTTTAGTGAGAAGGCCCTGGGTTCAATCTTCAGTACCAGGAGAAATAAATAAATAAAAGGCCTTTACTGCCTTTTTATTATTATTTTGTTGTGGTTTTTTTTTGAGACAAGGTCTCACTATGTGACCCAGGCTGGCCTAGAACTCACTATGTAACCCAGGCTGGCCCAGTAGTTGAATTTATTTTTAATTTTATTTATTTTTTTATTTAAAAATTTTTTTGGTACCAGGAATCGAACTCAGGGCCTCATGCTCACCAGGCAGGCACTGTGCCACTGAGCTACATTCCTGGCCCAGTTGAATTTATTTTAAATCCCTTCTGGACTGAGGTGTAGCTCCAGTGGTGGAGGACTTGCCTGGCATGCATGAGGCCCTCTGAGTTCCACCCCTAGCACTGCAGTCAATCAACCAATCAGTTCCCTTCTGTTTTTTTTTTTTTTTTGGTACCAGGGATGGAACTCAGGTCCTTGCACTTGCAAGGCAGGTGATGGAGCCACTGAGCTACATCCCTGGCCCAGTTCCCTTCTGTTTGTTTTATAAATCTAGTTTTTTTGGGTCTACCTTTTTTTTTTTTTTGGTACCGGGATTGAACTCAGGTCCTTGCGCTTACAAGACAGGCAGTGGAACCACTGAGCTAAATCCCCGGCCCTACTTCTTTTCTTTGTTGACTCTGGTAGCTTTCTTGTGGAGTTGGCTTTCTTTAAATATTTTGTTTCTTTTCTTCTAGTGAAATTTTTTTTTTTTGGTACTGGGGATCGAACTCAGGACCTTCCCCTTGTGGGGTAGGTGGTGGAACCACTGAGCTAAATCCCCGGCCCTAGTGATAATATTTTTATATGATGAAACTATCTAAAAATATGGAACACTGCATAAATTTGTGCATCATCCTTTCATGGGGGCCATGCTAATTTCTGTATTGTTCCAGTTTTAGTATAAGTGCTGCCAAAGTGAGCACCCTGGTGATAATATTTATGACTTCCTGTATATTTCTCTTCTTCTAATGGTTACCTTACTAAAAGTTTAGACCCAATGTTTAAATACCAGTGTCAAAAATCAAACAGCCAGGCCCAGTGGTGCATATCTGTAATCTCAGCATTTGGGAGGCTGAGGCAGGAGAATTGCTGCAAGTTCAGGGCCAGCCTGGGCTACATAGTGAGTTCAAGGCCTGCCTGAACTGCACTGAAACAATGTGGATGAACAGATAGATGGATGGGATGGACAGATGGGCAATAGATTATTCATTGTGCTTTCCCCAGTAGGAATTAAGTCCCCCACAGTCCTATGCCACGCTTTTAGTTAGAACCTGTTCATCATGCTTTGCAGTGAGAACCTGTATGTCATGTCCTTTCAGTCAGAATCTGTTCATCTGTCTTTTCTATCAGAATTCGTTTATCATGCTTTTAATTTTTTTTTGGTACTGGGGATTGAACTCAGGACCTTGCACTTGCCAGGCAGGCGCCTACACCATTGAGCTACATCCCCGGCTGTCATGCTTTTTAGTACCCATCTGTTGGTCTTCTCCCCGCCTGAGTGCTCACTTCCTCACCTGTAGAATACAAATGTAGTAGAAGTGGCCTATAAGCCAGTGGGGAGAAGGGATTAGCCTCGTGACAGTCCTAGCCATCACCCCAACTGTAGCTCCACACATAGATCCAAGTCCTACCTGGCCTTACCCCTGGCCCCTAGTTTTTCCCCTTCCTGAGCTCCCCAGCCTGGCCTGAGGCTCTTTGCAGCAGAGCTGGCTCCCCCAGCTAAGAGCCCCATGGCCCCCGAGTGCCTGCAGTGTCAGGGGATTTGTCTTGCTGTTCCTACCTTGTTGACAGAGGCAGTTGGCAGGCAGATATGATCTAGAGTAGGTATGTCCAACCTGTGGCTCACGGGCCTCTTGCCCTCTTTTTTTTTTTTTTTTTCCTTTTTTCAGTACCAGTGATCGAACTCAGGACCTTGCGCTTGTAAGGTAGGTGCGGCGCCACTGAGCTAAATCCCCGGCCCTTGTCCTCTTTTCTTTAATGTTATAATAAATATTAAAAAGGAAGATTTGGGGCTGGGGATTTAGCTCAGTGGTTCCGCCGCCTGTCCTGCAAGCTCAAGGACCCGAGATCAATCCCTGGTACCCCCAAAAAACAAAACAACCAAACAAAAAGACAGGTTTGTCAATCATATACATTAACTATATTATATATTTTATATGTGGCCCAAGACAATTCTTCTTTACTCAGTGCAGCCCAGGTGGGCCAGGCAACCCATAGCCCACAGGTTGGACATGCCTGACTAGTCTCGCACTGGATCAGGAGGTCCCAGGGGCTGGGGAAGACCCCATAGCACTTGGGACCTTGGACCTGAGTCTGGAATTGGGTAGGCACTGAAGGGGCAGTGCTGTTCGCTAGGGGAGGGACCAAATGAATGAGTGAGAAAATGGGTAAATAAATGAAAGAATTAATAAATGAGAAGGTGAATAAGTTGGTGACTGAATGGAAAGATAAATTAATGGAAGAATGGATGTACAAATTAGTGCCTCGTGTGTTGAGACATGCTTGTAATCCCAGTACTATGGAGGCTGAGGCAGGATTGCAAGTTGGAGCCTAGCCTGGGAAATTTAATAACTTAGTGAGATCCTGTATCAAAAATTTAAAAAGGGCTGGAGATACAGCTCAGTGTAAAGGCCCTGGGTTCAATCCCCATTACTGCAAAAAAATATATTTTAAAGAATTGGTGGGGAAATTAATGGAGAGAATGACGAGGTTTTGGATGGGGAAGTGAGTGGGTGAGTGAACTGTGACAGCTATGGGTTGGGAGTATCTGGAGACTGTTCTCCAACCTCCTCACCATTTTTCATTTGCAGTGCTGGGGATTGAACCCAGGGCCACATGCATGCTAGGCAACCCTTCACCTCATTGTTTTTTTCTGCCCCCAGTGTCCTCTATTTTTCCATCCATCGTTATGAGCAGGGTCGGTTCTGGCCCCACCTTAAGGCCTCTAACTGGTCTACTACTGGTTTTGGCCAGGGTCAAGGTTACACCATCAATGTGCCTTGGAACCAGGTCAGTATCTCCCACCCTCTGCCCCCAAAGTGAGGCCCAGCCCTACCCTTCTGCTCTCTCAGGCAGGTAGCTGCCCATTCCCATCTTACCTCTGTCCACAGGTGGGGATGCGGGACGCTGACTACATTGCTGCTTTTCTGCACATCCTGCTACCAGTTGCCTTTGAGGTCCTGGGGTCTGGGAAATGTTGGGGTGAGGGGCAATAGTAAGGGATGGCCCAGGAGGACAGATGGTCTCATGTAGTTTGTTCCTCCCTCAGTTCCAGCCTCAGCTGGTCCTAGTGGCTGCTGGATTTGATGCCATACAAGGGGATCCCAAGGTAAGATAGGCCTCTGAGGTTGGCAGGTGAGCAAAAGGAGCTGCATAGAACCAGGCTCATCCTCCATGTGTCCCCAGGGTGAGATGGCCACCACTCCGGCAGGGTTCGCCCAGCTAACCCACTTGCTCATGGGTCTGGCAGGAGGCAAGCTGATCCTGTCTCTGGAGGTAAGTGGGCTTTGTCTTTCAACCTGTGAACCCTCGAGGGCTTCAGAGCAGAGCTTTCGTGCTACAGTGTGGCTCAGTGGTAGAGCACTTGCCTAGTATGCATGTGTCCCTGAGTTCAATCCCCAGCACAACACACATGTGAAAAAGACAGGGTTTTCAAGTCCAGTAGGAGTCCCTGGCCTGGCATCTCACTAACTGGACAGCGTGACACATATCACTTCACTTCTTTATGCCTCTGCTTTCCTTACATGAAATGGGGAAAATGTTAACGGCAATCACCTCATGTCATTTCTGGTGAATTAAATGAGGTCACCCTGTGAGTTCCTTGTTGCTCAACGTGTAGTATGTACCCTCATATTATTGTCATTATCGTCCTTCCTGGGAACATCCAAGCCTCTCCTCACCCCTTCACAACTCCTCTCAGGGTGGCTACAACCTTCGCTCCCTGGCTGAGGGCGTCAGTGCATCACTCCACATCCTTCTGGGAGATCCTTGCCCCATGCTGGAGTCCCCCGGTGCCCCCTGCCCCAGGTAAGCCTGGGGGCAGGAGGGGAGGAAGGGCTCTCACTGCCCGCTGGGGCTCATTTCATTGCATTTTCCCCTCCTCTGTCTTCAGTGCCCAGGCTTCAATCTCCTCCACTCTGGAAGCCCTTGAGCCTTTCTGGGAGGTTCTTGTGAGACCAGGTAAGAAGTGAGGTGTGGGCCTGATGGAGGCTGGGGATGGAATGAGCCAAAGGGAGACTCTTTCAGACCTCTCTCTGATTCCTGGGCCACCTTGGTGACGAGCGTCACCTTCTCACCTGGCCCAGGTTTCAGGCCTCCCTCTTCTTTTTATGTTTGGGCCACCTGTATCCTGAGTGTTACAGGGACCCAGATTTGGGGAGTAGGGCAAATTGACTTCCCCTTGTAGCAGAGACCCCAGAGGAGGACAGTGTAGCGGAGGATGGTGTGCAGGAGATCCAGGAGGAAGGACCCTGGGAACCCCCTGTGCTGCCAATCCTGACCTGGCCCTTGCTACAGGCACGAACTGGGCTGATTTATGACGAGCGGATGATGAGTCACTGCAACTTATGGGACAGGTTTGCAGTCAGAGGGGTGGGCTGAGTAGGTGGGGCTCACTCCTCTCAGCACTCAGCCTGAACCTCTGCCTCCTCAGCCACCACCCTGAGACACCCCAGCGCATCCTGCGGATCATGTGCCACCTGGAGGAGCTGGGCCTTGCCGGGCGCTGCGTCACCCTGCCTGTGCGGCCTGCCACGGAGGCGGAGTTGCTCACCTGCCACAGGTCAGATCCCCACCTGGTGTGGGTGGCCACAGGACTGAGGACAGGCTTCCAGGTCAGAGCCTGGACCCTTCCCTCCAGGGTGTATGGTGGTGCTGTGGACCCAGAGGTGCCCATATTCTTATCTCCAGTTTGGGCCCCTAGAGAGCAACAGAACCACCTCACTGCCCCCCCGGGTGTTTTTCTCTGTACCTCTAGTGCCGAATATGTGGAGCGCCTCCGAGCAACTGAGAAGATGAAAACCCGAGAGCTGCACCGGGAGGGCGCCAACTTTGACTCCATCTACATCTGCCCCAGCACCTTCACCTGTGCACAGCTTGCTACGGGCTCTGCCTGCCGCCTTGTGGAGGCTGTGCTCTCAGGAGAGGTACAGCCTCTCCGGGTGGGCGTTGGGCTGAGGGAAGCGGGTTCCTAGGGGACAGAAAGAAAGGACCACCTGCCACTTTCAGTGCCCTTGAGAGAGCTGAGCAGGGCCCAAGGAAAGGGACAATGGGGAAGCCCCTAGCAGCTGGTGGACTAGTGGAGAGGACATAGGAGCGGGACTAGATGAATGGGGAGTGGTCGTGTGAAGGCAGTGGTCCAGTCCTACTCCCTACTCCTACCCAGGTTCTGAATGGTGTGGCCGTGGTTCGCCCCCCAGGGCACCATGCAGAGCAGGACACTGCCTGCGGTTTCTGCTTTTTCAACTCTGTGGCTGTGGCTGCTCGCCATGCCCAGGCCATCAGTGGGCATGCCATGCGGTAAGGACTCCCTGGAGATCCCCAAATCCTGACCCTTGTGGAGACCTTCCCCCCACCTTTCAGCCCAGTGCTGCCTCAACCCCATGGCACAGCCCCTTGGACTTTTCCAGAAACCAGCAATTGTCCATTTGCCTAGCACCTCCCCAGAAAAGGACCAAGAAAGGGGCCTCCCAGTGCCTACCCTGCTAGGACTCCCAGATTGTGGCACTCAGGCACTTAAAACCAGTATCCGGGGTCATACCTCAGTTATTTATCCCAATGGAATCCAGTGCTTACTCTCAAAATCCGAAGATCCAGCACATGTTACTTAGCTACGCAGGCCCTGCAGGCCCTACAGGTCTAGCCTTACCCCTCTCCCACGGGGCAAGTGTCCCAGGTTACTGAGAAGCTGTCTCCTCCTCAGAATCCTGATCGTGGATTGGGACATCCATCATGGTAATGGAACTCAGCACATATTTGAGGATGACCCCAGGTGAGGGGCTGGGGCTGGGGACAAGGGTGGGGTCAGGGAGGGGCTGAACTATGTTGTGGAGGCACTTGGACCCCCTAACCAGCCATGGTCCCCTTTCCATCTTATCCTGTCAGCGTGTTATATGTGTCCCTGCACCGCTTTGACCGAGGCACCTTCTTTCCCATGGGGGACGAGGGTGCCAGCAGCCAGGTGGGCAAGGCTGCAGGCACAGGCTTCACCGTCAATGTGGCCTGGAATGGGCCCCGAGTGGGTGATGCTGAGTACCTGGCTGCCTGGCATCGCCTGGTGCTTCCCATTGCCTATGAGGTAAGGCTTGGGATGTTCGTGACACTCCTGTGTGGATGGTAGCACATACCTGCCTCCTCGGGCTGTAGGTGGCTGTGATGATTGCTGTTGGGGAAAGGCTCAGGTGGCCTTATGTATCTGTCTAACTGCACAGGAGGCTACACGTGACTGTCCTCTCTGCATGACATTCTGTGTGCGAGTGACCACTTGGCTGTATGTGTGAGGGCCTTCTGTATGTCCTGTGGTGGCCTGTGTAGCCTGCTAGATCTGTATTCTCTGTCTGCTGTCATGAATGCCCACCTGGGTTTGAGGGTGGCCATAAGTGACACTGACTCTGGAACTGCATGTGTGCAAGAGAGGGCTGGGGATAGGTGGGTACATTTGTGTGATTCTGTACAGGTAGCCGTTTGTCCTCCCCTCTTCTCTGTGAGACAGGTGTAGTATCGTATGTCACTGGGTGCCGCCATCTCTGACAGTCTGAATGAGATGTGCAGATCTGGATGCACAAAAACTGATCTGGATGTGAGAGGCTGTGTGGGACCCCCATTTCTGTGTCTGTCCATCTGTCCTGGCTGTATATGTGTCTCTGGCTGGGGAGTGGCCTGGCTGTGGTGGGAGCTGAGGGCCAGTGGTGTGTGTATGAATGACTGTCTCTCCCAGTCTCCAAGTCCCAACTCCTCATCTCTCTGACTTGCATCTCCTTGTCTCCATCACTTACTGCCTGCCAAAGCCTACCCTCATGCTCACGTATCTCTTCTCTCCTTGCCTCAGTTTAACCCGGAACTGGTACTGGTCTCAGCTGGCTTTGATGCGGCACGAGGGGACCCACTAGGGGGCTGCCAGGTGTCACCCGAAGGTTATGCCCATCTCACCCACCTGTTGATGGGCCTTGCCAATGGTCGCATCATCCTTATCCTAGAGGTAACTCTCTTGGGCTCTTTTCCTGTGGTGGGGGCAGGCAGTTTGGAAGAGTTGGCTACATCATTGAGGGTAATATCCTAAAACCTCCTTCGAGTGTCCCCACTTGGGATTGTTGGCACATCCTGGGCATTAATAATCACAATAACAGATTAGCCTCTTTAACTGAGTACTCACTATACACAAAGCACTTTACCCAGCACTTTATATGTATTATTAACTTGTTTACTTGATAAAGCAGCATGAGGAGGTAGGATCTACTTCCTTATTACTTTCTTCTTTCAACATTAGGGCAACTGAGGGACAGAAAGGGGTAGTGACTATGCTGAAGTCACACATTTAACAATGGCAGAGTCAAAAAAAAAAATAATGGCAGAGTCGAGACTTGAACCCAGGCAAACCTGGCTCCAGGAATTTTGCTTTTTAACACTACCTGAACTGCCTGTAACAAGTTCCTAGGACAAGTAAATTTGTGGACTTTTGTAAATGACTTAGTACCTCCACCCCTGTGCCCAGATAAGTTTCCTTATCTGTAAGATGGGCCTGGTTAATCATGGAAAAGTGCCTGGCATATTATTAGCACTGTATAAATGCCATATCTTCTTACTGCTGTGCATTGTTCAGACATTAATTGTAATTGTTGTCCTGTAGTGTCACAGAAATTCTTTTTTTTTTGTACCGAGAATCGAACTCGAGACCTTGTGCTTTCGAGGCAGGTGCCGGAACCACTGATCTAAATCCCCGGCCCTGTTCAGACATTAATTAACCCTCTCAGCAAACTTCTGTGCTGCTATTTTATAGTTGAGGACAGTTAAGTCACAGAAAAATTAACTGACTTACAAAAGTTCCACTTACAATGTGCCTAGGACTGCTTGTGGCAGGGCCGGGTAGTGGTTCAGAACATGGGGTATTTCATCAGTTGACCCAGGTTCAAACCCCACTGCTGCCTCTTCAGCTCTTGTGACCTCAGACAAGTCATCTGACCACTCTGAGCCTCAGTTGTCCTATATATACAAAGAGTAGGTTATGGGGTTCCTATACAATATGAAGAAGTTCAAGATAGGGGATGGTATAGAGAGGAAAGACCAGTTTATTCCTATTTTAGTATATGTGCTGCTGAAGTGAGCATGAGACCAGTTATTCCTGTACTTGGGCAGGGCAGGGCAGGGGTTCCTGGAAAGTGTGAAATAATTTCTAGATGGCATGAAGACAGGTTCATGTACAAATTGAGCACCTGTGGTTTTGAGGGTTAAGTGTGTTCATATGCATGAAATATGTAAAATAGGGTCTGGCACACAGCAAGCATGTAATACATGTTAGCTATTTTTAATGCTCTTGCCAGTGTTGTTACTGTTTTCTTGTACTTGACAACACAGACAGTTTACCTTACCAGCACATGATAAGTGCTGACCGTCTTACAAATGTGGGTTCCACTCATCTGTACCTGGTACCACCCTCCACTCAGACTTGCAGGACCCAGGAGCAGGGAGGAAGGAAAATTAGGGAGGCAGAACATCTGACCCTCCAAATTCCCTGATGAACCCCTACTGTACCTTTCCCTCCCCTTTTCCTTAACAAAGGGTGGCTACAATCTGACATCCATCTCAGAATCCATGGCTGCCTGTACTCACGCACTTCTTGGAGACCTGTCACCCCAGCTGGCTCTGCTGCGGCCTCCACAGTCTGGGGCTCTGGCCTCCATCACTGAGACCATCCAAGTCCATCGAAGATACTGGCGCAGCTTACGAGTCACAAGTGAGTGGATGTGGGGAATTGGAGATCATGAGGGGATTCAGGGAAGGAAAGGCAGGGGCAGGGATTAGAGTCCAAAAAGGGGACAAGACCTGCACTCAAGGATCTCACTGCATGATTACAAAGGTAGATGACAAGGAGGGACTCTCTAGTTCTAAGTCAGTCACCAAGAAGGTGCCCCAATAAGCCAATCCTGGGTTGGCTAAGGGAATAATCATGCCAAAAGGGAAGGTTCTGGAAGCAGGCATGAGGAAGCCAACCTCAGCATTATCTACAGAAGAGTCCAGTCCAGGCCAGACTAAACCAGAGGCAGCTAAAGTGGTGCTCACTCGGGACCAGTCCTCAGAGACAGCCACTGGAAGAGCCACCCTGGAGAAAGGCCCATCAGCCTCAGAGGACGCTGTGGGAGGAGCTGAGCTGAACCAAACTCCTCAAGCCTCATGTACAGAAAAGCAGACCTCGGCAGCCTCACCTGTGCCAGGAGCCACAGCCCTGCTCCCTCCCAGTCAGCTGACTGGGAATCCTAAGACCTTGGAACTAGGCAAGGAAGCTCTGGTAAGGCCCACTGCACCCAGGGAAAGGGAAGAAGGTTAAGAAGGGGCCTCACACATCTTTTCATGTGTTTCCAGGAGACCCTGGAACCTCAGGCCCTTGGAGAGGAGAGCCTACTAGGAGAGGCAGCTGGAGGTCAGGATGTGGATGACTCACAGCTGACACAGGGATTTCAGGACCTTGCTGACACTAACCAGGTGAGCTCAGGGAAAGGCTGGGATCGTGGTATCCTTTCTTCTCCCATTTGTGCCTGCACAAAGGAGTATGCAATGTAGAAGCATATAATAAGAGATGGGACCCTCAGCTTACTCAGTTTCACCCACTCATCCTAGGACATATTACATGCTGTGACACCACTGCTCTGGTGTCCCCATCTGGTAGCAGTACGCCCCATGTCTGCAGCAAACCTGGACGTGACCCAACCCTGTAAGGACTGTGGAACACTCCAGGAGAACTGGTTGTGTTTGTCCTGCTATCAGGTACATAGCAGAGGAAGGAAATGGGGGGAGGTTGGCCTAGAAGCAAACCGCAGATGATTGGGGAGCCCTGCCTGACACTCATTTCCCAACCTCAGGTCTACTGCAGTCGTTATGTCAACGCTCATATGGTCCGACACCACGAAGTATCTGGACACCCGCTAGTCCTCAGCTACATCGATTTGTCTACCTGGTGTTACCCTTGTCAGGCCTATGTCCACCACCAGGTGGGCCCTGGGCAGACCCTTTAACCCCTGCGTACTCATCGCCACCCACACACACATATCTCTTCTGTCCCTGGGGAAGAGAACGCAGACCCCTCTGCATAGCTCCCCGGTGATTAGTGCAGTCTGGGGCCTGTGGAACTGGCCGGGAGATGGAGTGGCTGAGGGCTGGAGTGGGTCCACCTCCTAGCTGAGTAGAGCAGTCCTCACTTCTCTCACCTGCCCTATTCTTACCTCTTCCTCAGGATCTCCTAGATGTGAAGAACATCACCCATCAGAAGAAGTTTGGGGAGGACATGCCTCACCCACACTAAGTCCCAGAAAGTGCTCCCTCTTCTCCACCCTCTAAGGCCCCAGACAGACCAGCCTCATTTCTTGGGGTTTTTTTGGGGGGGGGGGTACTGGGGATCGAACTCGGGCAGACCAGCCTCATTTCTTACAACCTATACCTTGGATGAGGGTGGCCTCTGCCCCATCATGAATATCCTTTGCCAGTGGCCCAAGGATGCTTATTTAGGTGTAAATACACTTTAAGAGGACTATGATAATTGGTTGTGGATCTACCCCTGTCCATTGCCAGTTCGAGGGACACCATTACTCTACCCCAGAAGGAAAGAGGGGGCAGAAATCAAAAGGATAACATTGGGGGGGGACAACTGGCAGTTATGGCAGGGTTGCATATTTAATAAACATCAAGTTGTTATGAAACCTGGAGAAAGCCTTAAAACTTTGAGTATATTGAGACCCACACATCCCTCATCCAGCAGGGCTGATGAATAATAAAGGAATGGGGGGGGTCTTCAACTGGTCAACCCTCTGCCCATCCATTGCCCCCAAAAAGTCTAACTGAAAACAGAGCAAGTGGCTTGACTGGGTTCACTGGAGATTTAATAGAATCCATGAGAAAATGAGTGCCTGCCTTAGAAATTGGGGCCTCACAGCCAGTCCCAGCTGTGCCCAAGACTGAGAAGACCAGGGAATCTGGAATTATCTTCCACCTGCCCCAGTTTCCCCATCTCCTGTAGTTTCCCTATCTCGAGTTGACCTGATTGGTGGGGTGGGGTGGGTTCAAGCTTCACCTGGATGAACAGGTCACAGGTAGAGGTCCTGGTCCAGAGGTGGGAAATGAGCAAAATTTTGGAGTTCTAGTTATCTTACATAATGAGAATTGCTTTGGCTGAGGTTACAGGGTCTTTTCTTCATTGCCACTTTCAGATCCCAAGATGACCACCAAAGACCTACCTCTTCGAAAAGGAGAGTTCAAATAAGGGGAAAGGGAAGAGGGCTTGGGCCAGCCCGATTATAATAACATTGTAGATGGCTCACCCTCACACCTCTACTAAGTATCTCACGGATCAGAACTGTGTCCCTACACTTGTCTAGCTGCAAGAGAGTCTGGAAAATTTGCAATTTGAATATACATCTCTAATCGGTTCTTTTGGCCCTGACAGAGTAGGCCCCTCTCCTGTAGCTCTTTCCCTCCGGATAGACCCAAGCCCCTGCAGACCCACCAAGAGCTGAGTTGAAGCTGTTGTACAGGCTCCTTGGCCCCAAAAGCACTCAAAAAAATGATTCAAATGTCCCGGTCAAGTCAAACCTGACCCTTCCCTGCACAGGCAATGGAGAGGTGCAGTGAGACTCAGGCGCCCCTCGCGCGCACACATGGCACCACCTGGGCAGTTGGGCCGCGCGCCGGCGACCTTTGGGGTCAGGGTGGGGGGGTCCGACGGCGGTGGCTCTGCATGCCCACTGTCCCTGCCCCGCCGCCGGGGTGGGGAGCGGCCTTGCCCCTGGTCACTGCTGTCAGAGCTACCCTCTGCGTCCCAGCGCCCTGCTGCTCCCAGGACTCAGGTGAGCAGGCCGCTCGAATCCCAGCTGCATTTGGGCCTGGAGGTCTTTCGGAGCCGCAGTCAAGGGGACCCTTCCCCGCCGCCTTTCCTTCTAGGGTAGCGAGCCCTGCATTCGCTCTGCCGGGTCGGGTGTCCGCGCTTTGCAGGAAGCGGGGTTGCTCCTCGGGATGGTGCCCGAAACACGCCGTGGGGCACCACTGTGCGGGCTGAGCCCAAGGTGAAGGTACGCTTGGGCATGCAGCCTCAGGGCCACCCCTGCTCACCCCTACTCACCTCCAGCTTTACACCTTGGACAAAACAAAGTGCGGGGCTGCTGGTGGCCCAGGCCTGAAGGGAGCCCCCCGCCCCCCGCCCCCCGTTCTCCCTCACCTGCTGGGGCAGCTGGGGAAGACTCAACTGGCCCAGGCAGCACCAAACGGGCGCTTGCAGGGTCTCAAGGACCCTCCAGGGACACTGCAGTAGCATCCACCACACCGAAGGCTTTGCTTTTAAGCAGAAGGCTGGGACCTCATTCTGTTGTTGGGCCATGTGACCTGGGCCAGTCCCTGTCACTCTGCTTCTCAGAGCGCCCGGTTCCTCATGGGATGCAGGGGTCCTAGTGACCATAACCTGCCCCCCCCCCGCGTTGTCACAAAGATGAGGTGAATGTGGTCACAGCAGGGGCTCACCCTGGCTCTACCATGCTCTCGGGAGATAGCATCTGGGCACCCATGGTCATTACCAGCACTTTGGCCAAGGGGGGAGAGCCCTGCTCACACTTCCCCCATCTGATGATGGCACCCCAAATTTTCAGCTGCTCCAGCCCTAAACTTGGGAGTCCCCCTTGTGTGCCCCCTCCCCTGCCTCTTCATCTTTAGAGACAGCCTGCCAGTTCCACCTTCAGAATCTACCAGAACCCTACATGTCCTTTGCACTTGCTCCGCTGCCACCATCATCACTGGCCAGTCTGCAGCAGCAGCCCCCTTGTCCTGGTCTTTCCTCAGTCTGTCCTCGCAAGTCAGGTCTTCCTCTCTCTTCCCTAAAGTATGGGACCCTCCAAAGCTGGTCTCTCTTTCTCTCTTCATCCTGCCCCCCCGTTTCTGGGGAGAAACTTGCAGTGAGCATTTTCAGAGATCTCCCCATCTCATCCTGACTCGCACATCCCAAACTCAGCAGAGCCTGCCGTGGACACCTGGAACCCACCATCTGCCCCAAACTGCCATTGCTCCCTGGTTTCTAGATGACCATTATGGTGCACTCCATGAGGACAATTCCCAAACTGGACAGGGAGGCATTTAATGAGTTAATGGTGATTTGCTATTAATAGCTAACACAAATTGAGCACCTGTTGTGTGCCTATCCTCTCTTTTTTGGGGGAGTACTGGGGATCAAACTCAGGACCTTTCACTTTCCATGCATGTGTGGTGCCTCTGAGCTAAATCCCTGGTCCTATCCTCTTCTAATATGCAAGGTAATTTCCTTACTTATTATGTTTATTGTCTCTCACTGCCAGAATCTAAAACTCTCAAGGCCAGGAGTTGAGGTTTTGTTCAGTGCTGTATCATAATGTCTGACATAGAGAAAGATGCTTGAATTAATTAAGGAGAATTGAATAATAGTAAAAATGCCTAACATTAGCCAAGCACCTTCTACTGAAATATATTTTACTTATTTTGTTGTCACTTGTTGCCAGACAATATGGAATTGTAGACAATAACATAGAATGTAACATTCACAATGGCCATCTATTTTTTTTTGTATCTGTGTCCTTGCCACACAGTAGGTTTTCAATAAACATATGTTGAATAGTTAATAAGACTAAATTCTAATGAAAATAGCTAATGGACTACATAATTCACTTAATTTATTTGGTTTATTGTCTCTTCAGATACTAATATTCTTTTAGAATATAAACCCCATGGCATGGGAATGGTCTGAGCAGACAACTGTCAGGCACTGCCTTAGAGGCTGAGGTTCAGTGTCAACCAAATAAACAAAATCCCGCCCTCCCTCTGCATTGGGAAGCAACTGTTAATGGGCAGGAGAAGTCTTTCCCAAGTAACAAAAATGTTCTAAAATTCACACAACTCCATGAATATACTAAAATTCATTGAATTATACATTTTAACTGGGTGAACTGGTGGCACATGTTTGTAATCCCAGCACTAAGAGGCTGAGGCAGGAGGATCACCTTGAGTTCAAGGCCAGCCTGCACTACAAAGCAAGACTCTGTCTCAAAAAATAATAATAATAATTTTTTAAAACTGGGTGAACTTTATGGAGTATAAATTGCATTTTAATAAAGCTCCTTGAAAAATCCTGCCTTGGGGCTGAGGGCATAGCTGAGTCGTAGACAAGCCCATCCCCTCGTCCCAGGCCCTGGGTTTGATTCCCAGCACTAACAAAAGAAAAAACTCCCCTTTACAAAGTTGATCTTATAGAAGGAAGGGGGTAGAGCAACATAAATAATGCATGGATATTAGGTGATCAGCACACAGTAGGACCTCAACAAATATTGATTCAATGCTACCTACCTGTCCCTTTGCCTCTAAACAGTTTACTCTGACCTCTCTCCACTGTTGTCTTTCTTCCCTCCTCACTGGCAGACCTGGCTGTTTATATCTCTTTCCTGAGTTGCCTGTTTGGGGCATGGAGCTGCCACTGCCACCTAGTGACGTTGACATGGGCCTGGGCACCTGGAACCCCAACTCCCAGGAGGAGAGTCATGAGGCTTTGGAACACAGCAAGGATGCTATCAAGAAGTTGCCCGAGTACAAGGCAGTGTTGTTTGGTACTAGTGGTGTGGGCAAGAGTGCACTGACTGACCATCCAGATGACCCACCAGTGCTTCTTGGAGGACCATGACCCTACCATCCAGGATTCCTACTGGAAGGAAATAGCCCTGGGCAATGGGGGCTACATTCTGAATGTGTTGGACCCAGCAGGGCAAGACATCCAAAGGGCCCTGCAGAACCAGTGCTTGGCAGCTGGTGATGGCATACTGGGTGTCTTCACTCTTGATGATCCTTCATCTCTGGATCAGCTGCAGCAGATGCGGGCCACTTGGGGCCCTTGCCACACTCAACCCCTCGTCCTGGTGGGCGACAAGTGTGACCTCGTGACTGCTGCTGGAGATGCCCATGCCACCGCTGCAGCCCTTGCCCAAAGCTGGGGGGCTCCCTTCGTGGAAACCTCAGCCAAGACACGGCAAGGTGTGGAGGAAGCCTTTTCCCTGCTCATCCACGAGATCCAGAGGGTCCAGGCAGCCATGGCAGAAGCAGGTGGGAAGAGGGCCCACCACCAGAAGGCTGTGTGTAGCTGTGGCTGCTCTGTGGCCTGAAGATCTGTCAGGAAAAGCAGCCTGTCCCTCATGCCAGGGTGGTGTTCCCTTGATAGAGACACCTCAGGAGCAATTAGTAACACGGACACGTGCCAGTGATTGGCCATAGATGGACCCCTTTCTTCCTTTCATTTGGTGAGGAGCTTTTTGGTGACATGGGGCTGTCTAGTGTTGGCTGTGTTATGTCAGCTTGAGAGATTTTATGCACTTTTAAATAAATGGAGTTTCCAGCTTCCAAGTTGCCTCTGTGCCAAGTGTTATGTGGGTGGGAGTGAGACTGGGTGGAATGTTACTTGAAGTATGAGAAGTCTTTCATTCAAGAAATTTGGGGGAGTCCTCCATGTGCCAGGCCCTGCTTTGGGTATACAAACAATGTGGAGACGAATCCTTGCCCTTGTATGACAGAAGGCTAGGTAGTGATAGAGGCTGACAATAAGGCAGGTGAAGGAACACAGTGACAGGGTGGTCAAAGAAGCTTTATGGAGTAGGTAACATTTGGATAAAACCTTGCTGATATCCAGGGGAAGAGGACATAGCCAGTGCAAAATAAAGACCATGACTACAAACCAGCCACTGGCTCCTTGGTGCCCTTGGTCCTCAGGAGAACGGACCCCTGGGAGATCCTGGTGCAGGCCCTGAAAGAAGCATCAAAGCCCATGGAATCTGCCTAACCCAGTGAGGCCTAATAGGGCAGCACTGAGGGTGGGGGGCACTGCCATTGTCCCTGTGGATGCCTCTGCCAGTGGGGAGAGGCACAGGCTGAACAGGGGGTGTCGCTAAGGGCAAGATGTAGAGCCCTTCTACTCCAAGAGCACCCACCCCCAACCAGCCCACCAGCCCCCTTAGCTACTGCCACTCACACAGACAAACAGAGCTGTTTCAGATGGTGTTATTATAAGGCCAGGGGGTGGGGATCTGGGGATGGAAGGGGTAAGCTGCTCTGGACGTGCTGGCAAGGGTGTCTGGGTGGCTCGCTGGGTGCTCCTGGATTCTGGGGCACGCTGGATGCAGGCGGTGCTCAGGGTGGCAGGAGACGGCGTGCTGGCGCTGGGGGTGGGGGGTTCTCCAGGCGTTTTACACGAAGCAGTGCCCCCAGAACACCTTCAGGGGGCCCCTCAGGGCTCAGATCCTGGTCGGCGGCGCGGCGAAGGCGGCGCGGGGCGGCCCCAGCTTCGGGGTCCGCGCTTCCGCTTCCGGTGAGGATTCGTCCCAGTAAATACCTGAGGAACAGAGCAGTATGCAGTGAGGATGTGGCTTCGTGTTGCTCTCCCCTGCACCCCAGGAACCTGGACGGCACTCCCTGTTACCCCATAGTGCCTGGTCCTTCCCCACCCGTGTTCCTGGCCCACTGCTCTCAAGAGCCAGATGTTCCCGACTCCCATGCCAGAAATTATAGCATCCTGGCCTCCCCTTCCTGGCAGAAACCGGGCATCCGTGCCTCTCTCCCCAGGGACAGGAGGTCACATCCTGCACTGCTTCTCTAGCGCGGAATCTTTGCCCTCACCCCACATCCAGGATCTCACTTCCAAATTGGACGCTTCATCTCGGGATGAAGTAGGTCCCTCAACCCCTCGCCCTCACCCTCCCAGGACGCAGCTCCTGTTCCCTCCCTGCCCATTGCTGGCACCTCAGCAACTCTGGATCCACGTCGGGAGTCTCGTCACCAGTGTCCTCCGTATCTGGACCTGTGGGGCCGTCGTCATAGACTGGAGGCCGGGGTCGGTGTGCAGCGGCCGGTGCCGGAGCAGGGACAAACTGGGCTGCGAGGGCTGCGGGGTCGAGGCGGGCGCGGAGCAGGGCGCGGGCGAGCTGTGCGGCGGGCGCGTCTGGGTCGTCGTCCAGGACGAGGGGCGCGTCGGAGGTGCGGGAAGAGCCCCAGACACGCAGCAGCTGCGCCAGGACACGCGCCTGCTGGTCCTCAGCCTCCTGTGCCTCGGCCCGCGCCCGCTCCTGCCTCTCGGCCTCCAGCAGGTGTGCTAGCGCCCGCGCTAGCTCCTGCACGGCACCCGCTGCCTCTCCTCGGGGCACTGCCCTGCGGAAGCGGCGCGGGGGGCCAGCCTCAGCCATGGCTGGCGACGCTGCGCTTAGGCTGAGGGGCTCCTGCTGGAAGGTGAGGAAGGAGAAAAGATAACTATCGTCGGGATGGGGCTGGCCAAGGACCTCCAACTTGGGGACTCCGCAACCTCAAATACCCAAAGCCACCATGCCCCTGCCCCATAACAAACACCTCTAGGGCCAAAGGAGAGCCTCAAATATCTCCAGATACACTTAAGACCCTCGAAGGCCCCTAGATCCATCTCCAGTAATGCCTTAGTGACACTCAGAACTTGCCCTAGGACCGCTAGAGAGTGGATTTGAAATGAAAACTCTCATACTTTGCTGGTGGAAATTATCAAAATAATTTTGAAGAGCAGCATGGCAATGTCTAAAAAGAAATACATATCCTATAACCCACTCCTGGGGGGTTACACCCCAGAGTAGCTTTGGCACATTTACTACTGGACGCTTCATAATAGCATAAAAGGAGGGGAGGGATAAAGGCCTGGAAACAACTCAATGTTCACTGACATATTAAGAGTGCATATATAAGCTGGATGTGATGGTACATGCCTGTAACCATAGCACTCTGGGAGGATGAGGCAGGTAGAATGCATTCGAGCCCAGCCTGGGCAACTTGACAAGATCCTGTCTCAAAATAAAAAACAAGGGCTAGGGATGTAGTTTGGTGCAAAGGCCCTGGGTTCAATCCCCAGTAACACAAAAATAAATCATGAATGATATTCCCATAGAACATAATATTATGAAGGAAAATTTTAAATGAACTATAGCCAGACACTTTAATATGAATGAATCTCACCACCAGTGTAGAGACAACAAAAGAAGTTTGGATTAGGAGTGTAACTGGTAGGGCACTTGAACTAGGGCCCCAGGTTCACGCCACAAGACCACACCACACACACACACACACACACACACACACACTCAAGTTCCAGAATCCCACTGCAGACTAGCTAAGATGACCAGACGTGAAAGGACTTCCTAGTGACCCCTAGTGAGTACCAGGAGGCAGATACTGGCTTTGATTCCATTATTATGCTGCAGATTGCTTAAAGATATATACATACGTGAAAAGCCTCAAACAAATGTAAGAACTAAATGGATAGAAAATACAGGATAATGATTGTGGGGCAGGGAGGATACCAGAGCGAGGGACACCCTGGGGCTTTTGACTATTACTGGTTGTACTCTATTAGTCTTAAACTGAGTAGTGGGTGCACAGGAGACTCATTTTACCATTATTCTTTACAACTGTAATATATTAGCAAATATGAATACAGTTAAATCTGTATACATTAAATGTACAAATCTATGTACATTAAATATATTGTTATATGCAAAATATTTAATAATTTGATGCAGATGCCCTGAAGGGGAAATGGAAGGAGCTTCTCCAAGTGTCCTTGGTTGTCGCCCACCACCCGTCAGCCCCTGGGGGTATTACTCACCAACAATCAGTGTCTCTCTCTCTCCCTCCCTCTCTCACATGCACATGCACAGACCACAGACTGACAGCCTCTGAGATGCCACATATGCAGCCCAGCACTGCCACATCCACATGCAAGGAATGGCACATGTTCACTTCCATGGCTGCTCATGCAGTTACACTCTCCAAGGTGCAAGGACATGCAACACCTGTGAGACACACTGCAGCATAGGGACATCATGGCTCCTCTCCCCACCATGACACAGCTCCACAAAGAAGCAGCCTCAAGCACGAGTACAAAGTCCCGGGCACTTGGCCCAACAGAATGAATGTGGAGTGTGGCCATGGAGACTCAAGGACTGCTCCTTCCAAAAGGAAAATGAAATCACACAGACACGTACAAACACACGGGAAGATACACCCAGGGGCCACACCATCACACTTAAGGATTCATGAACATACCCCATGGTCACTGAAAAGCAATCGGACCTGCAAAAGTGCTGCACACAGAAAGCACCTCCAGCATCACACACCCTACACACTGGGACACACAATGTCACTTCTGTAGGACATTCAGAATCAATCACATCAAAGGACACACACTAACGAGCACATAACACCCGCACACCGCTGTCATCACATCAAAGGCGCACACAGGGCTATGCGCACCCTTCCTGAACGCGCCCTAGAGCCATGGACAGCACCACAGGCTGCGGGCGGGGCTACGCCAGCTAGGCTTGGCCTGCGTGTGTCGTCCTGACCTCCCCACGCTGACTGGCGGTCGCACCCGGGGCTACCCTTGCCAGTCTCCCCGCTCTTCCCCGTGCTGGCTCCTGCAAGGATGAGGCTTGACCCTCGGCCTCGGCATCATCTGCCCCACCCCCACCCGCGCGGGACTGAGGTCGCACCTTTACCGGCCGCGCGGAGAGCGCGGGGGGCAGCTGAAGGAGGCCCAACAGCAGCAGCACCAGAAGGCCGACGCCCCCGGCCCGCGGCCCGCGGAGCAGCGGCGACCCCGCCATGCTGCTCCTGCGAGCCGGGCTCCGGACGGGCAGACTGGCTGTCAAGTGCGCAGCGCTGGGGTAGCGGCACGGCTGGGAGGCTCTGCGGCTGCGCATGCCGAGAGCCGGGCCCCCTCCCTCCCACTCCCCCCACCCCGTCACTCCACGCAGGCGCAGCCTCAGAGCTCTGGCAGCTCCTGCAGCCTGCGTAGTCGCTGGAGTGATGCTCCAAGGATAAGGTGGAGAGTCGGAGACTGCAGCTGGCGGTTGCCATGGCAGTCGGAGGGCAGTTGCTACGGCAACAGACCTTGCTGTTGATTTAGCAGACAGCCAGGGAAAATTGACTCAGTGAAGTGAAATGAGGTCCAGTCCCCAGCTCTCCCTCTCTGGGGAGAAGATGGACTGTGTTCATTGCATAAACAACTGCCTGCTGTGGGCCCTGCATCTGTAGAGAGATAGGTTCCACCTGGTGATGGAACCGTGAATAGATCTGTTCCTGCATGTAGGGCTCAGCCCCTCTCCTGCAATAGGGAGTTACAGTAACTTCGGTATCAGAACAGTGATAGCAGTCACTAGAGGCTCAGTGGACGCTGCTTCGCAACCGCTGCTGGCCAGGGCCTTCCTTTCTCCATGATTGTCTCTCTTTCTGTCCTTTCATGTCCTTAGCCATCTTCCTCTCCCCATCTCTGTCTCCTTATCTCTCTTCTCTCCATCCCTCCAACATCCTTCCATCTTTATCTTAATTTACTGTCTGCATTTATTTGTTTTTTCATAAATAGATACATACAAAGAATTTTTATCCATGTATTTTTCCAGAAAAAATTTGAAGGAACTTAAATGATACATCAGGGGCCCTGGTATAGCTCAGTAGCAAAACACATACTTAGCATATGTGAGGCCCTGGGTTCAATCTCCAGTACCAAACAGAAAGGGGAAAAAATACACGACAGGAAACAAGATTTTAGCCAGGCATTGTGCCACACGGCTATAATTCCCAGTACTTGAGAGGCTGAGGCAGGAGGATCACAAATTTGAGGCCAGCCTGGGCTGTATAGTAAGACCCTGTATAAAAAAATACAGAACAACAAAAAAGGAAACAAGGTTTTGATAAAAGTGAAGGATCCTAGTTAGCAAGACAGACTCCATATTGCTGCTTGACCCACCTGCCTTGCCTGTCCTTTAGATGAACTCAGAAGGAGGAAACTTAGAAACCTCTTCTCCTTAAAGAGTCCCTTTAAAAATAACAATTAATTGGGCCAGGGATTGGGCTCAGTAGTTTTGCCGCCTTCTGCGCAAGCACAAGGACCCGAGTTTGATCCCTGGTACAAAAAAAATAAACAAACAATTATTCAACTATTGTTTTACCAATGTTCTAACAGCAGGACATTCAGCTTCTGTACCTTTCCCTTGCTTTGCTAGTTCTATCCCATAGGGGGGCCTAGAAACTGTTGGCCTCAAAGGTGTATAAAACATGTTTGTCTCCCCCCAGTCAGGGCTCGAGTCTGATGCTCAGCTCGGGTTTTGGCCAGTAATAAACTCCTGTGTGGATTTAATATCAGTCTCTGGTTGGTTCTTTCTCACTGGGTCTAACATTCTTGGAGGCCCCAGCGAGATAGCCAGCTGCTCTGGAGCTTATTATCCTGGAGCCATTGTTTCTTTTTAGGAGAGACCAGGATCGGACATTGGCGGTGTTTGGCCCCTCTGGACACCGCTCTGCAGAAGGAGAGGCCACCTTGATGGTATTCCTGGGCTCCGGGTAGGCCAGTCCCAGTCGGGCCCTATCGCCAATCACCCAACCTGCAGGAGTTTATCAGGAAAGCCTCTAGAGGTAAGAATGGAATGATTCTTAGTGCACTCTGGGGAGATAGGAGGAAGCCGGACTCGGCACAGGTTCCCCTATCTAGAGTCTCTTCATGACGGCAAGCAGACTCACTGGGTCGGAGTCATCAGAAGGGCGACTCCCTGGGTTGGGGTCCATATCCATTCGGCTCCAGAGGTTTTACCTGGCCAAAGTTTGTCTTTGTCTGCTTATTATTGTCTGTCTGCTTGTCTGTGTGCCTTTTGTGTTTTCACAGGCTAAAATTATGGGTTCCTCACAGTCCACAGAAGGAACTCCACTTGACTGTGATTTGAATAACTTCAGACAAATTTCTTCCACAGAAAGGGAAGATAAATATGGCATGAAATTTTCTAAAGAAAAGTTGCAAAGACATTACAAAGATGCAGAGGACACAGGACCACCAGACCACAGTACTGAGTCCCGCTGCTCCCGGCCCAGAGGGCAGAGAAGCTCAGCCGGTCCCAGCACCCAGAGGGAAGCTCCCTTGCTGCCATCCTAGGCTCCTAGGGCAGAGAAGCTCAGCTGGTCCCAGAACCTGGAAGGAAGCTCCCCAACTCCATCCCAGGCTCCTAGGGCAGAGAAGCTCAGCTGGTCCCAGCACCTGGAAGGAAGCTCCCCTGCTGCCATCCCAGGCTCCTAGGGCAGAGAAAGTGAGCCAGTCCCAGGAGGCAGAAGGAAGCTCCTGAGGGAAGGTGAGCCTCGTGGGCGCTAGAAGCACCCCCCCATGGAAATGATAAAACACATAAGCAAGCCTCAAAAACAGAGTTCCAGATCACCTACAGCAACCCCAAAGGGAAACGAGATGGAATCATCTGATACTCAACCACCTGGACTTTCTGAACTGGCAACAAAAGAGGATCTG